TTTGAACATCGATATTTTTTATTTTAATTTTTAGAAAAAAAAAGATTATTCAAAATTATTCTTTTGTCGATATTTAACACTGTATATGATAAAGGAAAATTCCAGACATGACATCTAGACGGTCAAAGGTTATTTTATTATATGTTTAACCCTGGATATGTTTTATTTTTATTTTTAGAAAAAAAAAACATTATTCAAAATAATTGTTTTCTCGAAATTTAACACTGGATATGATGAAGAAAAATTCTAGACATCACATCTAGACGGTGAAAAGTTATTATTGATTTCTATTTATAATGTATACTTTTTTTTTTTAATTTCAGAAAAAAAAATTTTTTTTTAAATTCTTATCATACACTATCAGGTCTGATAATATATTTTTACTTTATATGGTTCCACTTTACTAAAGCATTTTTTTATAGATACTACGAATCGAACTGCAACAAATTATTCTTGAATTGTAACAACAACTGTTGATTTTTTTTTCGAATTATACTATTAATAAATACTTCGTCTGTGTATACGGATGGAGTATGAATTTTTTTTTTTTGTTGTTTTTTAGATAAATTTTTGGTGAACATCTAATAGTTCCATATAAACAACTTTCTTTCAAAGATGAATAATCTTGGACATTCCATTAAACCAATATTCAGGGAAGTACAAGAAATAACTCGCGCAAATGGTCTACACTTGGACAATAGTTCTAAATCCAATGATGAGAATTTATTGTTGAAGAAAATACCAGAAGAAGTTCCCATCAAATATCAATTATTAGTATGTTTTTTTTTTGTGAAGAATATGTATCATAATAAGGTTCTTGTTTTTTTTAAGCCATTAGAAGACCAAGTGTTATCACAAAAATTAAGTCAGTTATCCATGACTTCCTTTCGAACACCTGAACATCTTATTGAAATCACTGAAGATCAGGTTGAAAATATCCCGTATTATTTAACCAAAGAAAGTAAATCTTTCCAACAAATAACCAGTGATTTATCATCGAGTGAATTAATCGAAGAACTACGACAACTGGCCATTTTGATACATGAACTTTTAATGATCGAGTTTCACAAATCACTTTGGACAATCTATTTGAAATCAGGTACAGGTCAACTCCAATTAAATCAAATGGATCATCATCATCATCCTATTCAACCACATCTTTGGCCCTTGGAAGTTCAAAAAC